CAGCCTTTGTTTTCCTGGGAATTCCCAGCTGAGGCTTCTTCCACCAGATGGTGATCTGCCTACTTATTCCGGGAGATCAGCTCAACGGACCTCTCCTGATTGTTACTGACAGGCCTGAATCTTACCTGCCTTCCAAAGCTGAAATCAAAGCCGCTGAGTTTAGGGCTTGTCTACAACAGGGGTTTTACACTGGTGTAGCTACATCCGTGAAACCCTGGCATAGATGCAGTGCACTGGATCACAGCAGGGTTCATATCAGCACAGCTTGCTGCAGTGTAGCAACCCCAGAGCAAAAATCCCTAATACGCACACCCCCTTAGACTGCAGAGAAGATATCACAGACTCATGCTTCCTTGACAACTGCATGTGCAGGGAAGGAGAGCAGGAAGTCAGTCCTTTTGGTTAAGCTGGAGGAGATATAGACTTGGCTTGCACCTTCTGAGAGATGGGCCTTCCCTACTGATGGCTGATGGAATCCATTTTTGTGTGCAGGGGTCAGTTTCTCACCTTGGCTGTTTACGCTGCTGAAAGCCAATGTAAATAGGCTGCTGTTCTCATTAGAAAGACATTTGGAAGGCTTGCGATTTAGATTAAACAAGTGAAAGAAGAAAGTAGACTTTCGAAAGCACTTCTTCTCCTTCTTTGAGAAAGAAAAACAGAATTCTTTGCCAGAAGCGACAGCACCTCTGCCCGGTTCATCTCTGAGAAAGACAATTACAAATGAGGTGGCTTCCAAGATGACACAGGAAGCTGGCAGAGCCTTGGAAATCCACTGCCAGGTTTTGGGGAGCTTTAAATGGCATTTAATTAGTTGCATTCAGGTGGCCCCAATGGTGTTTAGCACAGCAGTGGTGTTAAGGCAGAACTGCAGTTCCTGGCATTTGTTTATTAAAGCAGCTCCTGACAGAGACTAATGACTTCTTAATGAATCTGTTGTCATACTAAGTTGTGGTTTTCCCTTCTCCCTGTTCCTGCCACCCCCATTTTCCTGGGATCATTAACTCCTGAAACCTCACAAGGAATGGGTTCAGGTTTGATTTTTGGTGGTTCTTTTTCTTTCCACTTAAGGAAGAGGTCCAGCTGGGGTAATGCAGAAAGAAGAGCTGGCTCCGTGGTGTTGGCAGCCTCACAAAAGCGGCAAAGAAATGGCTTTCTAGAGAGGGAGATTCCCAGCAGCAGAAAAGCACAGTGGGAGTCACAATGTGGGGAGACAGGCAAAGAGCACATTTGGTTGTAATGCAGGAGACCCCTTCACCTTGCATTATGCTGGGATCTTACAAGCAGTGGGGAAGCTCCAGTGAAGATCTTTGCTATGTGTGATAATTTTCCTTTTTTTAAAGGGACAGAGCCTGCTTCCCCTCTGCCCTGCATCTGTGCTGTCCATTACACCTCTGGGCAGAGCACACCCCCTTGGCATTGGTTATCAGTCCCTGTGGGGAATCAAGCCCACAATTTTGATCCATGTTTGGGCTTCCCTTCTCCCCAAGGCCTTGCTTCTTCCTATTGGGCTGTTCAGTGGCTCATTGCTTTTTCCCCCCCTTTCACCTCTAATAGATTCTCACCCAGATGTTCTCCTTACCACTTTCTCCAAGCTAGTCTTCTTTTAACTTCTCTTGTTCTGACAGATCTTTCTCTTCCAGATGATCCAGATGTTCCAGCTGGTATCCAGATGTTCTTCCATCCTCAGTCTCCCAGAAGTTCTCCTTTTCCTGTTTCTCCACATATTCTCTTTATTGTGTCTTTCTCCCCACAGACATTTTGCCCACAGATATCTCTGAGTCCAGATGTCTAAACACTTTTACGGTCCCGTCACCATAGTATCTGAGTGCCTCACAAGCATTAAGAAATGTATCCTGTGAAGTAAGGAAATATTGCATTCCTGTTTTACAGATGCTGAGCTGCAATGCAGATAGATTAAGTGGCATGCCCAGGGTTATGCAGCGTATCTATGCAGAGCCAGAAGTTGAACCCCCACCTCCTGAAGTCCCGGCCCAGTACCCAGACCACAAGACCATTCTCACTCCAGTGCTTTTTCTCTTCTCACCCGGCTCTGGATGCTAATTCTTGTCCTCCTTGCAATCTGATGTGGGATGAGACATTACCAAGTAATTACCCTGCTTTCTACAGGCCTAGATATGGCAAACAAATGGTGATTTCTGAGTCTGTGCAATGTTTCTTTTAGAATATACAAGAAATGAAATATGGGCAGTGTTGTTTTCCATTGAAGAGCCTGTAATTTCACTGCATGACTCCTGCTTGCATATCAGGGAAGATTTAATTTCACTTGCATTAGGAATTCTATTGAAATAGCAAAATGATCTATTGTCTTCCAGCAACCTCAGGGGCATGTGATTAGAAGCGATAGGAATAGGTCAGTTTCCAGCTATTTCTAGTAGGGACTACAGACAGCAAAGTCCTGGCTTTTTTCAGCAGGCAGATGTATCCATTATAATGTAGCAGCACTGGCTGAGGAGGAACCTAACAGACTTGGCATGTCTAAGCAAGGAGCTGCTGAAGACAATGACATAGTTACTCTTGTGAAAAGGCAAGGAGGGAGCTGTTCAATATAAGCAAGCCCATCACATTTCCAGTAGAGGGCATTGTTTCACATATGTGTGCAAACATGGACACGCCACTTCTCATTTAGCTGAGCTGTTTGCCATAAATTGCCTTTAGAGTAAAGAAAAATTGACTGGCTAGTTTCAGTTTGCACACTTGCCCTATAGCTTGTGGGAGGCCCCTAAACCACCCCATTAGGAGTCAGCGAGGATCCCTTGGTTGCTCTCGTTCCTTAAAGGGCTAGGTTTTCACTTGCTCTATGACCAGCAGTTCCCAGTGCGATGCTTAAGGCCAGATTCCCACAAAAGCTCAGCCCCCAGCATGCTGAGCACTTGTAAAAGCCGGCCCATGTGTGTCACCAGCTTCGCAGCCACCCTTGAACATCAAGAAGAAACAGTCTTTATATGCAAACCTTGGCCTGGGAATTTTCCACTTGAGCCACGCGGGATAGTACACTGGCCATGTACAGTTGCCAGGGCACCTCTGTGGAAAGGAAGTGCCACATACAAGCCCTGGCTAACCCATTCTTGTTTCTTGCTGGAACTTCCCGTTTTCTTGTGAGTAGTGGACAATGCGGGTGGTTCTTAAGAAAACCTATGTCGTAACACGCAGGCAAACTGTGTTTGTTGTGCTGGCCTTTCTTTTGCCAGGGTGTTAATAGAGATTGACAGAGCCTGGAGTTACAGGTAATTCCACTGTCAGTTTCTACGGCCTCCTGTACCTGGTTAAACAAAGGCAGGGAAAAAGAGAGAAATGTCAGTCGGACACAGCTGCCAGAATCCACCACACTCCCGCCCCCATGCTCCGAACTAGTCCTGCTCAGACACATTATGCAGCTCCCAAGAGCTTGTGTTTGGCCTCATAGAAGGGCTGAAGAGCCCCTGATCTTGGCCCAGTTACAAGGCCATGGAAGCTGGGCCTGCTCATAAAGAAAGAAAAACTTGCGTAATGATGAATTGTCCACTGAGGGGGATGGGGCAGGTGCCGAGCCATCTGCTGAGCCGGAGAGAGGATTCTGGTTGCATGGGCAAGGCAGGCTGACTGAGCCTGCATAGCCCCCCCCCCCCCCCAGTGAAACAGCATTTCTAGGGCCCACCCCAGATTTACAGCCCCCCTCCTTTATAGAAATAATAGGCCAGCTCCTCAGTGGGTGTGGCTCGGCATAGCTTCCCTGAAGTCATAGATTTACGCCTGCTGAGGATCTGGCCCATTAATACACACAAACCAAAGTTAAACGTTTGTGTTAGCTCTATAAACGGGTGAGCTCCCTTCCTAAGTCGGGGGGCATGGCCAGGGAAAGGGGGTGTGGCTAGCATGCCGCTGTGCTGTGGCAATCCCCAGCTGCAGAATGATCCCTTGGGGGCTGTTGCAACTGGATGTAATTTAGAGCAGCCCTGATGTTGCTCTAGTTCTGGGTGTGTGAATTGCCTCCCAGCAGCTCCTGGTACTGGGGGGCTGCAAAGGTGGCTTCAAGCCACTTTTATCCAAGCTGTAGCCCTGTTGCAGCAGGAGATCAGTATAAGGACCACGTTATTATTAGAGATGGACCCCAGCCGTCTCATTTGTATGGGTTCTGAGTTTCAAACACCCACAACTCTTCAGTGGGGTTGAGATCCGGAGATGCGGTTCTGGGGTCAAGGTTATTACGACAGTCTTGTGCACAAAGCCACCTCTTTATAACACGCCCCTAGGTGCTTATCTCCACCATGCATAGCTATAGTCACAAAGGGAGTGGAGTGTGACTGCAGGGTGGGCTAGTTACAGGGGTATCATTTTTCCCGAACCATTTATCACCATCACTCAGCACTGAACATGCTCCTTCCCCATAAACAGCTGAAACCCCACTGAAATGCCTCACAGACTGTCACCAGCCTGATTTATGGCTTTTCACTCCAGAGTCATTTGTATGCCCTGAGACATGGAATTTCTCTCCCAGTGAGCAGGCCCAGATGGAGACAGCATGGCTTCAGGGGAAAATCATCTTACTGCCTTGGAGATCTCTCTCTATCATACATACACAGATCCAGGCACATATACACACACTCACAGACACACTCAGATCCAGACATGTTCACACACAAGCACACATCAATCCAGACATGCTCACCTGCATGCACACACCCCCCCGCCCCGGCGCCCGAGTCTTGGACACACTCTTATCCGGACACATGCACAGAGACACAAGTACAGACTTGAATACAAGACATGGGCACACTAGGATCCAGATATGTATACACTCCAGGGTGGATTTGATTTAAATTCAGGAAGACTCGATGTAATCATGGATTTCTACATAAAAGTGCATTCTTGTTGGTTGTTATAACCTTAATACATATTCTTCACAACTCAGAGATAGATGTAGGTTTCATTTTTAGAAATTACACACTGTACATTTTTAAAGTGATTTATTTTGAAAACTTTTCGGATTAGTTTTACAGCTATATCAGAAAATGAATGATTGTTTGGTTATTTCATTTACCAAAGGTAATTGAAGCAGATATTTATGAAGTCATTGGGAGGTGAACTATCTCCAATTCAACGAGTTAATCATTAATATTTGGAGGATTGCTTGCCATGCTGTATTCGGAGGAGAACATAACCAGACAGACATTTAAATTGTTTTATTTAATTAAAACAACACCGTTATGTATTCTGGATTTTTTTGTTCAACAGCAAACATAATATTTTAACAAAACAAGCATATGAATTTTTGAATTTAGTTAAACATTCACGTTTTTTAAATCAGGTTTGTTTTTGTTAAAATTGTTTTTAACTAAAATAGTTAAATGAAATTTTTTTAAAAAAAAACAAAAATTAAATCGACTAGGTCAGCCAGGTCAACCCGAGAAACTTAAAATATTGGTTTCTGCAGCTAATTCAGTCGTCTTCACCTTCATTTTCCTGTTTGTTCTTAATCTGGAAAAGAAAAACAAGCTTTCCTGCTTTTTCAGGTCCCAAAAGATTTCTCAATTTGGAATGAATTAGTCCAAAGGAGGAAAATATTCTTTCTACACCGGCAGAAGAAGCTACTGCTGTTAAAAGTGAGATTATCATCTCAACAGTCTCTGAATCCAAGTGCTTAAGTGACTTCCACCAGTTCATTGGTGTGACTTTCTTTAAAACATCATCTGCAAACACATATTTCTTGAATGGTTCTTATTCCCAAACTGGGTCTCTTTTATGGCCTGCTGCCATTACAGGTTTTCCCTTCTAGTGAGAGAATGGTATGGTAGATTTCAAATCAATGAAGGCTACACTCAGAAAGACCTCAAGACTTCTGGAATATGCTGCTCAAACAGTTTCACTTTTGTTTCTGCTGCCTGTCCCTCCCTTCTCACATTTGTCTCCAGACTTCTTCTCCTTGTCCAGATCTGTTCCACCCCCAACAATCTTCTATTCATTGAACCTTTTGAAACTTTGCACTTTTAGAGAGAGAAGGGATTGACGCTGTGTATACAAATTTGCAGAGGGACAATAGGGTTGAGGTCTGTTATTTCTCACCTCTATATATTATTTATTTATTTATTTTAAACCATTTTTGCTGTTAACAAGCATGTTATCTCTGGAGACACAAATCCACAGTTTGAGAAATGTAAAACCAAGCATCTCTGATGGTATCTTCTAGACTGAACACTGAGTCCTACTGGGTAGACAGAAAGATTAACCTAAATAATCTATACGGAAGCCCCTGGAACCCCATAAAATTGGGTCCCTAATCCATGAACTATTGGAACTCATTTACAAAACTTTTCTTACACATTACATGAATATATTGTCTCATACTATAGAATTAGAATTTATAATCCCTATTCCATGATGAGATATCTTTGAGCTATAATATATATTAATTAAAACTATCTTTAGATAGGTTTTTTCCTCAAAAAGCATTTTATCAAAAAAATCCAATTTAAATAAAAAAATTGGATTTTTTAATTTTTTTTAAAAAATCATTGATTTTTATCCACCCTGATACATACACACACACACACTATAGATGCACTTAGATCAAGACAAGTGCACAGAAGCACAGACATAGATACAGCTACACTGAGTATCAGACCCAGAGATACAATTCAATTCAGTTCAATAAGATTTTATTGGCATGACAAGCTATACAAGTGTTGCCAAAGTATAAAAAAGCCAGTAAACTGAGATCTCTGTCGGAGGTCCAGCAGCAGGTACAATTCATCAGGCATTCACCCAGCGTGAATGCATCTGATGCAGTGAGCTGTAGCTCACGAAAGCTTATGCTCAAATAAATTTGTTAGTCTCTAAGGTGCCACAAGTCCTCCTGTTCGTTTTGCAGATACAGACTAACACGGCTGCTACTCTGAAATCTATCACCCAGGGTGGAGAGGAAGAGTACATTGGTATTTAACCCTCAGTACTTGAAGTATTTTGCCCAAGACAGTGTATACTCGGATACACTCAGACATACATATACAATATATCAACACACACACACTCTTCCAGACAGAGACAAACCCGTCCACCTGGATCCACACACAGATATTAACACATACCCGCTTGGACACGGAAACACACACATACATCAGACAGGGACACAATGATTCATCCACGTACTCAGACACAGACATGCACACACGCATAGACTCAGACACTGAGACACATGTATGCTCTCCCATCCAGAGCCATACACCCTCAGAGACTTGGACACACACACGCTGACTTGCACTGTCATAAAGAGACACACACACACGTATTCACACAAAGACTCACAGATACCCTCTAACATGGACAGGCACAAACACATGAGTCACACATTGACTGTCATACTCCCCCCCCACACACACACTTACACAATCTCTCTGTTACAGGGATAGACGTACACACTGACATGTCATGAACACTCAGACGCACACACTGACAAACACATACTCTTAGACACACAAATAAACATCCCAGAGCAGTTGGCTTTCTCCCTCTGCAATTATTGAAATGCAGGCAGTATTCTGCTCCTTAGATTTCGTCGCTGTAACCCAAAACTTGGTCAACTGCCGAAGCCGTCCTGTCATGAAGCATGGCACAATGACATTGGAACAGTAACTTTCCCATCTCCATGGGAATGAGAGCTGGGGAACCTGGCATGAGACTTCACTGCCATCAGTGAGAGAAAGCACTAACAGGGTCTTTATCTCATGGAGACACCTTCTGCAGGCTGTATAGCTGCAGGCCCTGCTGGGGGATTTAACGCAGGCAACTCAGGCTAATCTAAATGCTTGGCTGGCAGTACAAGCCTCTCTGATCTCTTCTTCTCCCTCGCACCTGGGTAGGGGAGGATGAGTCTTGCTCTGTCATCAGGGCAGGGAAACTGTATGGGCTTAGCATAAGAAACACAAACATCCTCCCCACGTCCTCCAGAACGTTACCCCTAACTCGAGTCCCATACACATACAAAAACCCTGAACTCTGGCATGGCGGTGCTTTTGTCTCATGTTGGCTGACCCATCAGGGATATAGGCCCCAGCTCAAGTGAGCACAACTCCTCAGCTGCTAGCATGACCATTGAATAGCGCAGATGTAGGCTAATGTCATGTCGGTGCTGCTAGTAGGGTAACTAGATGTCCCGATTTTATAGGGACAGTCCCGATATTTGGGGCTTTGTCTTATATAGGTTCCTATTACCCTCCAGCCCCTGTCCCTATTTATTATCCTTGCTCTCCAGTCACCCTAGCTGCTAGTCCTCCAGGGCCTTCCCACAATTCCCTTTTGTGTGTGCCCCAAAAGGAGAGAGAAGTTCTCCCACAATTCACTGGGAAAGAAGCTCAACTTAGTGTAGTGCACACAGAACAGTGGGACGTGCCCGTAGACGTCCTAGCACCTCATGAGGGAGAGCAACACCAGCATGGGCACTGCTGCCTGCATGTTATTTCATAGCGTGGCTGCTCCCACTCAAGCTAGGCTAACTCAAGAGGAGTAACTTGAGTTAACTCGGCAGTGAAGTTATACCCCAAGAGAGTATCATTATCCCCATTTGACCAATAGGAAGCTGAGACACAGAAAGATTAAGTGATTTGCCCAGAATCACACAGGGAGTCTGTGTCAGAGCCAGAAATTGAACCCCATTCTTCTGAGTCCCATTCCAGAGCCTTAACCCTCTTCTCTATACTGGTTGACCCATCCCTTGCACTGCAATGACTGCCCGCTGGACTACATTAAGGTGTTTCCTACGAAGACACCTGGTGACACTTTTTGCTATCACATTCTAAATGCTGCACCTATTCGGAGCACTGGATCAGATTCTGATCTCCCTATGGGCCAGGTTTCATTCGAGTCAATCAAATTACAGCCCAGTGTGAACGAGATCAGGAGCAGATCTGTTGAATTTAGATCCTTTATGTCTTCACTTTAAATATAGCCTCTCAGCTTCCCTTTCCCCCACTGTCATTTACAACTCTGTCATGAAAAAAGGAATTAAACACAAAAATGTTTTTTACAAGTGTCTGACTGGAGAAAAATCTTTGAACAGCTAATTGATGAGATAGCCACGTGGAATCCTTTGAACTCTCTGTGCTCTGCAGCCAGCCACTTGCCCTGGGCGCAGTCACTGTCCTAATTAAGAAGTCAATGTTTGGAAGAGAAAACTGAATAGATGCCAGTTAGGAAGAGGCAGGGGAAATACAGAATGCACAAAAGAAGTGGACAGCAAAGTTACCACAAGGAGACAAATAGAATATGCTGCAGATATTGGGAAATGCAAAGTAGAGAGATGGAAGGATGAATGACGACACTGTAATAACCAGGAAATCGGTACCTTTTGTCTCAATAGCGAAGAGGAAGCATGATGGTGTCATGAAGACACTGGGCTGAGACTCAGCCAATCTGGGTTCAGCTTATTCTGCCTCTGCCTCAGCCTCCCCATGTGACCTTGGGCGAATCACATTTTCAAATGTGTCCAGAATTCAACAGGTCCCACTGTGCCACTGACAGACCATTTTTCCAAAAAGTATTCGTAATACTAATTACTATTATTATTTAAGTGTTACCTGTGACAGGACAAGGCCAGATGGCTATAGTGAAGTAATGGGAGACAGATATATTAGCCACAGGCTAAACAAATCTCTGCTACCAAAATAAGCAAATGGCAGCTGCTCCTGGTCCAAATTAAGACACCTGGGCCAATTAAGATCTTTCCAGAAGGCAGGGAGGACAGCTAGGTTGATTGGGACACCTGAAGCCAATCAGGGGCTGGCTGAAACTAGTTAAAAGCCTCCCAGTTAGTCAGGTAGGTGCGCATGTCAGGAGCTGTAGGAGGAAGTTGTGCTGTTGGAGAGACAGAGCAGTGCACACCATATCAGACACAAGGAAGGAGGCCCTGTGGTAAGGGTGAAGTGGATCTTGAGGAAGTGGGGGCTGCTGTGGGGAAGTAGCCCAGGGAATTGTACATGTCCTGTTTCTAAAAAGTCAGCCACCATTGCTGATACTATTAGGGTCCTTGGGCTGGAGCCCAGAGTAGAGGGTGGGGCCGGGCTCTCCCCTTTGCCCCCCTGATTAATCACTGAGACTAGGAGACAACAGAGACTGTGCAAGGGAGGATAGCTTCTCCTCACCTCCCTCGCTGGCTTCTGATGAAAATGGCTCAGTAGGCTGTGACCCTTGTCTCTAGAGAGAGAAGGGCTACGTGGAGGGTCACAGTGAGCCTCTGAGGCTAGCGAAATCCACCAGGAAACGCGGGCCCCACGGAGACAAGGACAAAGCTTTGTCACATACCATAACACAAATAATGGGCTAAAGTTTCAAAAGCACCTAAGGGACTTAAGCTCTTAAATCCCATTGAAAGTCAATGAGACACATATTGAAAATTTGACTTAATAATAACCATCATTGATATCATTAGTAAATTTCAGCAGTGTGAGTCCATCTTAAGGAGGGCAAAAGATCCAGTTTCTACAATCTATTTTTTTAAAATTCTGTGTCCACTTTGGAATGGTCTGAGGCTGTTGCTGTCTACAAATTATGACGATTATTAAGGATTGCTCTTACTATTAGAATCGCTAGCGGATTTCCCCTTTCCTCCCTTTTCAATCAATAGTTTATTTCCCTTGCAATATATTTGGAGTATTCCCAGCATGCTGAGAGGCAAAATGTAGAAAAGTAGACATTGACCCATTAAACTGATCTGGGGAATGAATCCATCTTGTGTTTACCAACCCCAAACCAGGGGAAGAACAGCCAGGGCCCATGGGAGGAGAACACCAGCCCTGTCTGGGATTTCCCCATGACTAACAGGTAAAAAGTGTTTGCTTACAAAGACGCCGCTAGAATCACACAGGGCACAACTCCCTCTGGCTGCTAATTCATTCTGAACAATGAATGAGCTGACACTACTCACTAGGGACATGAGCAGACTGAGTTCTTGGGAGTGGGCGTCTGGGGGGAGGTGAAGAGAGAGATGACTGCTTTCAAAGGGTTCTGTAGGAGGATTGCTAGTCTGCTGCCTCGTTCCCACGTTGTCCTGAATCGAACTCTGCTCTTCCCATAAGCCGTTGGCTGCTGCTGGGCCTGCCAATGATCCATGCTCACCATGGCTGGGTGGCACTGGAGAGAAAGAAAGGGAGTGAAAAAGGAGAAAATTAAAAAGGAAGTGAGAAAGAAAGGACAAGAGAAAGAAAGGGAGACACAGAGAGAGGAAGGAATCAAACAATAACTAGTAAAGCTGAACTTTTGTTACCTGATTTAGCGCAGCCAGAAATGAGCAGTTACTTCCTCCTGAGGCATTGGGAGCATCTGCCTGGAAAGTGGCTTTGTGGCCATTACTCCAGCCAAGATTTACTGTAGTGTGAGTATTGTTTCCTCCCCGTCATATCCAGAGTCGCTTTAACAGGGAGAAATATCACTCATCTTCCCGCGAGCCAACACGAACGGCATGAAAAAAAAATCAGTTAAAATAATTGCAGGTTACAACAAATCAATTGGAACTGTGTAAATAGCCTTCAGGCAGGCATACAACAATGTGTTCTTCAGCTAACATGCTTAACGTGCGCGAAGTTCCCCACCACCCCTCAGCAGCAGCCAGTCTGAGCAGCACTCGTATAGAAACTGAAGAAAGCAGGAATCCAGATCCTGACTGTGTCGGCTTCATGGCTCCAGGTTACCCCAATTCTTTGGTGGCTGTCAGAGAGAACCATTAATTCATAGTCCCTTTTTATTGAGTAAAGCACTACACCGAAGTGGTGAGAAAAAGGGAATGGAAACTACCTTGCCCAGAGTCCCAGCAAGTAGGTTCATAGACTATAAGGCTAGAAGTGACCATTAGATCATCTAGTCTGACTTGCTGCATAACACAGGCCAAAGAATTTGTACCAAGCCCAATAACCTGTGTTTGACTAACACATACCTTCCAGAAAGGCACCCAGTCTTGATCTGAAGATGCCAAGAGATGGAAAATCCACCACTTCCATAGGTAGCTTGTTCCATGGGTTAATCACCTTCACTCTCGTAAGCTGTGAGGTTTGTGAGTCTGGTGTCCTGAGAGATGCCAAGTCTTTCACCGCCTGGGGTTTTGCACTCAGTTAACTCTCTTGGCAAGGTTCCCCAAGAGACAGCTGCAGAATGGGAAAAACACTTGACATTTGGGTGAGATCCTAGTTCCCAAGCTGATGAGAACATTCATCCGATGAAGTGAGCTGAAGCTCACAAAAGCTTATGCTCAAATAAATTGGTTAGTCTCTAAGGTGCCACAAGTACTCCTTTTCTTTATTCAGAGTCAATGACTCTCGGGGCTGGTCTACACAAAAACTTGCACCAAATTAACAAAAGGTGTCAATTAAAACCCACATAGTTATTCCTGTACAGATGCTCTTATTTCTGAAGAATGACATCAGCTACATTGAGTTTAGCCATGTTTATTTAGTATATTTAAGTGTAAGTTTGTTTGTAGACCAGGCCTTGGAGAATTTTCTTCAGGAACTGCACAAGTATAACCTGGGGAGAGGGTTCCGAGTTTCCAGTCTCAGTTGGTGTGTAATAGGCTGTGAGAGCCCAGGCCATTGGGAGGACACCCTACCATGCATTCATAAGCTTCTTTTAGCAGAGACAGTCATTAGGTATTCAGGCAGCTAATTCTTTGAGACACAAAGTCTGCGCAAAGTGAGAGGGCAAAATCACTGTAGTATTGAAAATTTTATGGTTTGCAAGCCTCATTACAAAACACTTTGAGGGAACAAGACAGGAACAATTTTCCAGGATGTTTCTTTCACGTCCAGAAACCCCGATGAATAGAAGGGCTCCACGGCATCTGCCAGCAGCGTTACAATTGCACTGTTCCCCCGAACTTTCCCTCGTCACATCCCCTAATGCGCTCATACCCACTCTTTGTGGGATCTGTTCCTATCAAGAGTGCACGAGGATTTTAAATGGGAGAAAGGGTGTATGTTTGCTGAGGGAACATCCTGCAGCAGTCAGGGATATTGATCTGACGGGTTTTCCGGTTGAATAGGTGGTTGCTGTAGATTTGTCTAGCCTCGGCTTCTGTTGCTGAAGTGCCTAAGTGACAGGGGATGGGGGAAAGGCACATACACTCTAGCTATTAGGATCTGCTTTTCCAGCTGCAGTATTTCCGGATTGTAGCAAGTTTCCTGCTGGCCATACACCATTTGGCTGTTGCTAAATTTTCCAGCAGCGACTGCACCAGGCAGCATAGCCCTGCCACAGTGCCACCGCCCATAAGCAGCATGGCACTGCTGCCACTTCTCCTCACCCAGGCAGCACAGCCCCACTGCACTGAGGAATGTTTCCACATCCATCTACCTAGACTCCACCCTGCAGCTGCGTGATCCCGGTAGCTCTCTGGATTGTGTGGACTACTAGGGATGGATTAAGGACAGCTCCTCTTGCACAGCCACCTATTAGAGGCTAGCAAGAAGCTGTCCCCGCACTCCTGGAAGCCAGACTAGGCCTTGCCTGCAACAGCCATCCCACAGCAGAGCGTGCTTGTGTGACAGCCAGCCCTAGGGACTGCCAGAGCTAAATGCAGGGGTCACTACAGCTTGAGCTAAAGAGACACACTCCGTAGTTACAGGTTTCAGAGTAGCAGCCGTGTTAGTCTGTATTCGCAACAGCCCCACATCCTCGATCAATCAGGCATAGAGAGAGGACTCTAACACACACCTACCAGTGGGTTACACTTGCTACCGCTTCTCCCTGGGCACAAGATGCAAGTCCACAGAGCAGGGTCTGTGCATTTGCATGACAGCGTAGATTGCTCACCCCCGTTTATTCAAGCAGCCGCCTTCGTGGCTAGATCTCAATACAGAGAACAAGGGTGGCTGCAGTACACTACATTTAGGGGCAGTCCTCGGGATCCAGATGAGTTCCCAAGATTATCCCTCTGCTAAGTGAATTATGAGCCCCAGCCCGCACTAGCCCTGAAGGTTCCAGGGTAATGTGCACTTAGAGGATCCCCAAGGAATGATCTTGTCTCTCTTTTGTAATGACTTGGAAGCTGCTGTGTAATTATCCAAACCTGTACAGCGTGATAATTACCCCGTCCCTTCATGAGATGCACTTGAATAGTCAAGAGTTACCACGTCAGGAGCAAGGATGGATTGATGGGATAGCTCTACCTTTTAACTTAAAAAGATGTGCTATAATGGGTGATATCTGTCTACCTTTGTTATACTATTATTATTTGTATTACAATCATGCCTAGGAGCCACAGTCGTGGACCAGGACCCCACTGTGCTAAGCACTATACAAACACAGAACAAAAAGACGGTCCTATATCTCTGGCTATTTAGTGTTGCCAACTCTTGTGATTTGGTGGCACTACATTTCATGATAGCTGGTGTTTTTCTTAAAGAGCCAGCTCCGGGGTCATGTTGTTGCATGAGAATCTCAGCTTCCACCAAAAAAAAAATAATGCAAATTTCTAGTTAGACCTAGAGTTTTTTAGGGCCTGGTTAGACAAACACCTGTCAGGAATGGTCTAGTTGTTATGTAGTCCTGCCTTGAGTGCAGGGGACTAGACTAGAAAACCTCTCAGCTCCCTTCCAGTCCTACACATCTATGATTCTATAGTTGTGCAGAAAACCTGGAAAATATTGATCCTAACGGTGCACACACCAGAAGACAAAGAGAAAGAACCCCAAATGTATTTATCTGTGTTTAAATCCCATGCTTTTCGAGATTGTATTATAGCTATATTTCTGTGTCATTTTATAGGCTGGGAGTTTCAAAGGAACCTAAGGGAATTAGATACCCAAGGCCCACTGGATTTCAATGGGATTTGGACACCTAAATGTGCTTTGTGGCTTTGAAAATTTTCCCCATAGTGTATTCCCCATATTAGGGCCAGATTTTCAAAAGAGCTCAGCACATTTGGTTCCGAGCATTTGAAAATCCACCTTTGTGGCATCTGTCAGATAAAGAGTTAATAGCCTCTCCTCCTAAACAGAATATGGAATCCAGGTTTCTCCTCTCTGTGCAGTGATTGCTAGGAAACCCAGCAGGCGGGACCCTGGGCTCAACTGGAATCAATTGCTCCATTAGGCGGGACTACAGACTAGGGAGACCCTCAACATAATATTCTTTTGAGTTTGGCTGCACCCTGGCACCATGTGCCTCAAAGCGAGGGGCAGGGACTCAGGGTGTGTGTGACACCTTTCTTGTTTAGCCACCCCACGCTATTCAGGATGTTGTTCTGTGCTTTGGGAATGTTTTGGGTTTTTTTTGCCAGGACAAATAGTGGGGAATTCCTTGAGGAGCAGCGAAATTGATTAGGGGTGGGTGGCTGATTTATGAGTCATGATCCAAAGAGCTGAAAGATGCACAGCTTGGCTAAGCAGCAATGTCAGGAGGTGTGAGGAGTACAAGAGTTCTACTGAGAGGGACAGGAATTGCTTGAGGTGTGACTAGGAGGACCAGCCTGGAAATATACACAGGGAAATGTCCAAAGGAATTTCAGAGGGAACTCCTCCCCCAGTGAGAGCAGTTAGGCTGCACAATAATCTCTACAAGCAGAATAGTGGGTTCCCCATTGTTTGTGTCATTTAAAGAAACCTGAGCAAGCTAATGGAAAATGTACCATAGGGAGCAAGGCTGATCTTGCAAGGGTATTATTTATTTCTGCTTTCCAAACAGAAAGAACAGTGGATCCTTGCCCCCAAGGAATTCACACCATAAAACCAGAAGGGACACTAAAAGGTCTAAAATGGTGATTTTTTTCCATTTAGCCCTGGCTAGCCTTCCATGGTGTCTGTACGGTGTGTATATGTATACATCTATATATGCACACACAATGCATCTTTGTGGAAAGGTTTCATTTGACACTCTGTTGCCGATATATTGCCACAAGATGCTTGTTCCCACTGATTGATCTTCCACTGCCCCATGCACACTTAACTAAATGAAAATGTAATGCCGTGGTCAGGTCGGTGGTATATCAAAATTAATGGGAGCTAATTCTGCAGGGTTTGAACCTTGCTTCTTATGAAATCTCAGTGGGTGAAATGTTACTGCAAAGTTTGAGAGAAGCACTACCGTGGGCCATGCAAACGCTGGCTGGAGTATGTGCAAGGCAGTGAAGAAACGCTACTCACCTCCATTCACTGTCTCGATGGGTTGCCCTTTGTCTGCATACAGGTGGTCTAGAAACATGATCTAGTTCAACCATAAATCATTAGCCTAGATGCAGAAATCTCTGGGTGAAATTCCATGGCCTGTGTTATACAGGAAATCAGACTAGATGATAGTAATGGTCCCTTCTGGCCTTAAAAATCTATGAAACTATACAGGGTTTGTTAGATCAAAGCTAGAACTGAGCAAACTCATCACAGCAAATAATTCATAAGACAAATTTGCTTTTTTTCTGTTTGTAATTTGTCCATGGGTAGCTAAACATTTTCCTGGCTACACCTTACATCTGAAATCATTTGTTGAATACTTTCTCCATGTATGCTCAGTCTGTAGCTTGTAAATAAGCAGTTGGTTTGGACAGACAAAAGTCAAGCTGTTCTGGTGAGTTTTTGATTGAGTACACATCTCGTCTGACATTTCTGTGTTTTCCTAATAGGATAACTTTTAGACTCAGGCTTGAATATTCATGTTTATGAGTTCAAAAATTGCTTTCTGCAAATATTCTCCTATAGCTGCTTAAAAATCTGGATGCTTCCACAAATATTCCTGCCAGGAAACTCATTAGCTAGAATATTAATGAAAAATGAATGCAAAAAAGTTCTGTGAATGCCCATCAATGAGAATTCACTTTAAAAAACTGAGTGAATATTCAACGCTTGCTCAGCTCTGTCAAAGTCAGCATCTTTCATTACACCTGAGGAAAAAAATTGGAAATGCAGAATATAAAGCACCCTGTGAACAAAATCGCTAAGAAAAGGGAGTCCTGCATTCACTACTATCTGCTCAAGTTTTCAGGTGGTCTCCAGATTAAGATCTATGGAGAGTTCATTGATGTTATTCAGTCTGGAGGCGATGAGCATGAATGGTTGTGCTAAGATCCACTTGCAAAAGACCCATCTGCTTCCCAGATGTACAATCAGACTCATAGAAACGTGGGGCTGGCAGGGACCTTGAGAAGTCATCAAGTCCAGGCCTATGCACTGGGGCAGGACTACGTAAACCTAGTCCATCCCTGTCAGGCATTTGTCCAACCTGTTCTTAAAAACCTCCAATGATGAGGATTCCACATACCTCTTGGAAGCCCATTCCAGTGCTTAACTACCCTTATAGATAAAAAGTTTTTTTTCCCCTAATATCTACCCTAAATCTCCCTTGCTACAGATAACGCCAATAACTTCTTGTCTTACCTTCGGTCCTTGTCCTACAATGGGTGAAAGAAAACCTCCTGGACCATCTAGAGAGCTCGTGGCCATTACTAAGGCCAGGTCTGCACTTACAAAAATTAGATTTACCTAGATGTGTCTCTCAGGGGTGTGAAAAATTCACACACTCCCGTGCAATGTAGTTAAGCTGACCTAGCCCCTGGCATCCAGTAGATGCATCCAGGTCTATGGCAGAATTCTTCCATTGACCTAGCTAGCTACCGCTTCTCAGAGAAGTGGATTCACTACCGTGACAGAAAAAAACCCTCCGTTGCTGTAGGAAGTGCCTGCACTATGGTGCTACAGCGGGGTAGCTGTGCTGCTGTAGTGCTCACAGTGTAGACATAATATCTGACCCACTAAAAGCAATTGGCATTACCTGCCTCCATCCCAGCCGAGAGCCTCAGCAAGAACTCAGTGTGGGATGACGATTGAACAACCCTCTCCAGTCCTGGAGGTGGTCTCCCCAGGTCAGGGATGAGGGACACGATGTGTGGGGAAATGCCTGGTGCCATTGCCCATTCTGGGCTCTGTGGAGAGAAGATTTTACCTTCCAGGAGGTATCTCTCTGGTAGGCTTCGGCACCTCCCCATCACCACACCCGCTGGGGCTCACTGGCCTGGGACAGACTGTCAGCCGGGAAATATTATGCAATGATTTGTCCTCCGTGAAACGGCACCTGGAATCAGAGACTTTTATCCGGAAGTTTTAGCTCCATCAGGTCTGACTTTGAAGTGAGCCCCTACAAAAGATGAAGCAATTAGTGGATTACCATCTCAGTGGCTGGAAACAGCAGGTTAATCAGTGTCCCACTGGCAGCCCATTTGTTCGTCATCTGTATTTCTCGCTATGCAGTAGGTAACCCTGACTGCTCCCAAAGCCCTAACATTACTTTGTCCCAGTGGCAGGAAGGCTTTACCTGGAATATTCCCAATGGAGGGGCGGGGGTGATAGAATCATGTGATCAACTCATGCCTGAAAAGTTATCCAAGGAAAATCTTTGATGCCTGTAGAGTGAGGAGAAAACTCCAACAGCTGTTTTTTCCTAGGATGACTAGCTGGGAAGAATGAGGGGCAAATTGAATGGAAGGGTCATACATGTTAGAAGGGAATCCATAAATGGCATCCCTTGCTTGGCATCCTTTCGCAACGTGAGCTGTTGGCTCGATTGTCTCCATGGTAGTCATGTTATATAAATATCTATGGGCTGCAATGCCAGGGTTTGTCACATGTAATGATGTGAAATGAATGTGACGCTGTCTGTAGGTGACATGCATAGGTGAGGTGCTGCACTGGAGGACATTGGCGAATGACACATTGTTCTAGAGACATTCGCACTTCTGTTGAGCAGCTAGGGGACTAGAAAGCTCAAAGTGGAGAGAGCTATTCCCTCCCACCCCGGAGGAAAGAAAAGGGAAGCTCAGAACTCTTAATTAAACCTCTTTCAAAGTCATCTTGGTGGTTTTAAGGTACCACACCGAGAGTGTCAGGAGCAGAGTCCCCACCAAAGTCCCTTCAATGCTGACCGGAGAGACCTTTAGACAGATAGTGGGAAACTGCCATTCAGTCCTCAAGGTCTGCCTGGTTTGGGGCCCTTTTGCCGACATCACCAACAAGGAAGCCACTTAATGCCAGTGGTTTGTGTGATGTGAACACCTGTCCACTGGGTCACAGACAGAGACTCGTCAGGCCACCAAATAGGAGCAACTTTTGGCCACTACTGAAGGGGGCAGATTTCTACCAGTGACTTAGAAGGGAAAAAGAAAAGGAGTACTTGTGGCACCTTAGAGACTAACCAATTTACTTGAGCATAAGCTTTCGTGAGCTACAGCTCACTTCATCCGATAAAGTGAGCTGTAGCTCACAAAAGCTTTTGCTCAAATAAATTGGTTAGTCTCTAAGGGGCCACAAGTACTCCTTTTCTTTTTGTGAATACAGACTAACACGGCTGTTACTCTGAAACCTGTCATTAGAAGGGAAAGTCTCCCTATCCCATCAGTAATCTGAGCAAGCAGTCTGGCTTGGGCCTAGCTTTGATCACCAATCGTTCTGACTCTGTTGAAAGTAGCCTGCTATGCCCTAGAATGGCAGGAACTGGCACTACTGAGCAGTTCATCTTCTGTAGGTATCCAGTGCCAACCAACATGCCAGCCAGGCAGCCAACCCCTCTGCAAAAGCAAAGCCGCACGCACATCCTCCTCCTCCACTTTCTCACTAGCATGTTCCAACGGGCCGTTTCACATTAGCAACTTGCTCCTACTGCAAGTGGAAACAAATACTAATGTGAGATGACACTAATACAGCAGACTGAAGTGCCGCTAATGGGATTAGACTGCCACGTTGGGTCAATACAAAGAAAACCTTTCCTGCCAGCTTCAGCTTGTTCTCCCTGGTGTTTCAGAGCACCGGGGAGACTCCAGGACTCCTTTAGAAAACAGTAAAGCCCCACAGTGCATACTGCTTCCACCATCACAGCCTCTCCTACAGTAGAATGCACCCAGCCCTATGGTGCAGCAGTCTGGCTGCATGCAGGCAGGCATCAGGCTTTGTCAGCTAGCTGCAGAGTTACATCATTGGAACCAGAACTCATGAACCTTCTTCATGGAGAATGTTGCCCCATTGGCTCAGTGAGTGCAAGGAGCAGCTGTGCATGTGAGCAGTTTTGAGATATTCCAGTAGAGGGCACTATTTCACACACGCACACACGCGCACACACGCGCGCACACGCACACAGCTACTTTGACGTCTTCCATTGGAGCTCAGGCGTGCATACACACAGAACAGCAGTAAACATAGACAAAGGAAAACACATGGCAGTACCTCACCTTGAATAAGAGTGACACTCATACGTTTGTAAAGAACCCAGCCCTCTTATTCCTACTGCTCACAAATGAGAGTGACGCTGATCACGTTGCAATGGCATTCGCAAGGCTCATTGACTCACAGGTTAGGGCACCTTCCAGAGGATGACATTCAGCCATGGAAAATGCCGATCTACGGGTGCCTGCTACAACCCACGCTTACAGCGATGATAAAACACTCTTCACCATGTTGCCATGAGACTGCACTGGGGTCGGTCACCAGGAGCTGTCCTCCATGTGACTATTATTGCTGCCATATTGTCGGTGAGGAAATGCCCTTCTCCCCTGCAACCATGCTTATTATGCATAACCTGCGAATAAAATGCATGTCTCGCTTGGTAAAGCACACAGTCCCATTCTCCTCTTTTGTTCTGTGTATTTCAGCTGCTAGAGGCTTTGAAATTCTCTCCCAGTCCCCCTGATACCGTCTTCCATTGTTCCCATCACCTACCACTGTGTACTGAGTCAAGCTGGTACCTAACAGCCTCGGCAGGAAGGTCTCAGAGAAATCAGATGCAGCCCAGCCAATATCTGGCTATTTGGTCAGTTTGCAGTTGTAATTCGCCTTCAGAAAAATTCAGTGGAGGTGGCGCCGGGGGGGGAGGGGGAAGACTAATGGGATTCATCCTGTGAATTCATTATGCAAAATCTTGGCATCCTGCCAGGCTCTCTCACACACATGGTCAATGCTTTTCTGTAATAGCATTAAAAAAAAATCACACATCACAATGTTGGCTGATCAATCTGAATAGGTTTCTCTGCATGCATTTAAAAAAAATCTTTCTGCCAGAGACGACTGTTCGACTGTCATCCGTCCCCCCCGTCCCCCCCGCCCCAGCATCAGGAGCAATTGTCAGAAAGATGCTGGTGATTTTTATCTATTCTGAAGTTCTTCTGCGAGCAGGCAAAAAAGTGCATGCACCAAAAAGAAGAGGCAAGACTCTGACATGCTAAACTCAGAGCCAAGCCCAATGCAAGCAAAGAGAAATCTAGGGCCTGATTCACAGATCTGCTACAGCCTGTCTGCATCACTCTGGAGGCAGAAAGAGGATGTTTGCTGAAACAGGGAATACTCCCAGCCCAGGACCCAGGGAGTTTCCCATGTGAGGTACAGCTGGAATAATGGCTGCACAGCTCCCAGAGCAGGGGATATGCTGGTGATATGGCAGAGCAAAGAGGCCAGTCTCTAGTGAATCTTGGAATTGGAGAAATTAGAAATGGAAGAGACCTAGCTTAAGCTATATAGGCTTTTCCTCCTGACCAATACAACAGTGTTCGCTACGATACATTATCCAGTGATTTATGCAGGCTGGTTTTAGAAGTCCCAAAGAATGTGGCTTCCACTACGTTTTTTTGCATCACAGAATGACCACGTAATTTCAGGACAATGAGCAATTTGAGTGCTGCAGAACAATCATAATCATAATACCAAGGTCTTAGATAATGCTGTTCATCAGTAGATTTCAAAGCGCTTCACAGAAGTCCAGTGCTGGAAGACCAGGGGGTGGTGCAAGTCCCCAGTCAGGACTGAAGGGGTGCATCAGTAGACATGTCTGAGGGCCTAGAATGTAAAAAGCAGGGAGCACTGCATCACAGGATTGAGGTGCAACAGCAGAACTGTGTGTGTGGGAGCCCAGGGCTGGAAAGGAAGGGAGTACTCCACAGCTGAGGTCCATCGGCTGAGCTAGGTAGGCGAGCTAAGGACTGGAATGGCAGGAGGCTGAAGGTCAGAATCAAAGTGCATTGGGAGCCCAGGACTGGAATAGCAAGGGGGGCTGTAGCTCATGGTGACTGCAGCAAACTGATCTGGAGGGGTGGGGATTCATGACTGAGGAATAAGATGTATCAGCAGAACTGCCTTGGGAAGTCTGAGTGCTTTCTGCCTGTCTTAAGTCAATAAGACCAGCACGGAACTTGCTTCGACAATAACATTCCCTCTACATAAAAAGAAAAGGAGTACTTGTGGCACCTTAGAGACTAACCAATTTATTTGAGCATGAGCTTTCGTGAGCTACAGCTCACTTCATCGGATGCATACCGGTATGTCCACGGTATGCATCCGATGAAGTGAGCTGTAGCTCACGAAAGCTCATGCTCAAATAAATTGGTTAGTCTCTAAGGTGCCACAAGTACTCCTTTTCTTTTTGCGAATACAGACTAACACGGCTGTTACTCTGACACATTCCCTCTACATGTTACTGTGTTACAAAAATTCCAACAGGATCCTGCAGTATTTTCAGCACCCTGGGCAAGGGGAAGCAGAGGGCAATATGCGCATGCGAAATGGGGAAGCAGCATTAAAGTAGGATAATTTCATATCTTTTTAAGGGCTTTTGTTACTTTTTAAATTCCTGTCTAAATAAATACCCTCTTACCCAGAAGGACTAGAACATCACTGAACCAAAGGGGCCAGGTTCATCCCTGCTGTAAATCTGCTGATTTCATCCTCTCAGCTTTACACCAGGGATGAAGGGATAAATTTGTGCAACATTAGAAGCCAGTTTGGAATCTAAGGCAAATCCAAGTCCTGCCTGGCTTTGGTCAGTTGAAGTCTACTTTGTTATTTAAATGTTATGTTCTTGTATGAGTATATCTGTATATGTGGCCTGATACACAGGGATAGTATATGTATGTTTGTGTCTTAAATGCTGATACATAAAAGAATATATATATATATATATATATATATATATATATACCACATGTATAGAGCACTATATATTGGTATATCAATATGTTTCTGTGTGCTGATGTAGAATGATGTTTGCGTATGAGTGTGAGTTGATTAATGACTCACCTTTTTGTGTGTCCGTCTATGAAATATGTAGTATGCCCATCATCTGAATTACCTAGACATATCAGGGTGTCGGTCTAAGGGCTAGTGAATGACAGTAGGTGCGACAGGCAGTATTTATGTCCGTGGGGTGATATGGAATTTTGTAGAGCTTATGTATAAGCTAACTGATAGTGCATTAATGGGTGTCTGTTGGCCAGGATATGACTATGTACAGCATTTGCACGCACGTCTATTCAAATGGATTATGAATAGAGAGAGAGACCTTTTAAAGCATTTGCAACATGCATCCATTACCGTAGTGGCTAATTGTACATGCATGCAAGACTGTGGGCTTATGTATCACCAGAGCAAATATCTGTCCTGGGTCTGGCATATAATTGCTAGTACAGTATACATATATGTGTGTCTATGGCTTGGTGTATGACAGCACACATATTGCCAGCTGCAAATAAACTGGCAAACGGAGTGAATTCTATTACAGAGAAAGAAGAGTGAAATTTAATGCTGAGCTTCCCTTGGTGTTCCAGCCTCCTCCTCACCTAATCTAAAATTAACTTCACTGTTCAGCTGCATTTAAGCAAAACCAGTTGCCATGGCCACGCCAGGGGCTCCTAGATGTAGCAAACAAGGTAATCAATTAAAATGAATTGCCACCGAACTGATGCTTGCTGTAGGTTACATATGAAGTTCATTCACTTGTTAAACCTAATGGACTGTATTGCCTATGAAATAGAAATGGAAATTCTCTCTCTGGTGGCAGCTGGAGTTTGAATCAGGCTGGAAGGGGGTGGGGGGGAAGAGGATGTTGAATTAACGCAGCTTGTGTTGTGGGTGATGTGAGCCAAAGAAGCCATAAAGCATGTGAGGGGGTTCCGATGAGGGTCTATGCCTCTGGTACACTGGAAGGCAGAAAGCTGAAGGCTCAGCACCTCAAACCACTGCTGAGCAGGGCATTGGCATTAATAACACCCTATTAGTACTTGCCATGCCTCCTCCCTCTTCCCCCCCCCCCCACCCCAGTGGCATTTCTACAAAGGGAATAAGCCTTTGCATCACACTGCTGCAGAGGCAGGAAAAGGTCCCAGATTCCTGTGCATTATCTATACAACCCAGAGGATCACAAAGCGTGTCAGAAGCTGATACACAAACTACAAACAGGGATTGCTTTGTTTACTACCAAAATGCAGCCATCTCAGGTGTGAACTGTTACACAGGGCTTAAGAGAGGAGCTCAGGAATAATTTCTCCCCTGGCAGATTGGTATAATTGTAAGGGGGATTTAGGTAGGCGGAATGTGCCCAAAGTTTGCCAGCAAGGCATCCCGATCCTTAAATAGTTGTTGCATTACATAAGTGCCCTAGGATCGTTAGTGTCCACTAGTGATCAACATCTCATACAAAAGGTGGCACTTCCTGCAGCATAGTGCCCACTCCTGTCACTAAGAGCAAGGCACTGATTTGGTATTGGCTCAGGGGATAGAGTGACATCTACTGAGTCAGTGCCTAGCTGTTTCATGTCAGTATCTCAGCCCAGTACTGACACTGCCTGACCAGGCTGATCTCATAACAACAAACAGGACCAGAGCACAAGGTGATACAGCTGCAGGCTGCCCTTCTATTAGTGACTGCTGTCAGGGCAGATGCTTGTGCTGTTGCCCCAAGGCTTGAAAAGTCTCTTTGTAAGGATGGCTTGACAGAACCCCTAGCCGTGACTGTTTAATGCCAGAGGAATTCATTTGCTAAAGCAAACAGGTATTCTGCCCTGTGAAGTGCCCCCTGGACTGAAAATGTCTTCAGATCTGAGGTCAAATTTCCTTGCAAATTTGCTTATGCAAAAAGTTTAGCCAAGTTCGGATCCACTGAGCAATAAAAAGCTGCTGTCATATCCTAAAGCATTAGTGAGTGGCAAAGCGGGCCAGGCCACAGGAGATGGCTAGCTCTGATTGCCTCACTCTGATTGCTTGGCATGGCCCTGCAGTAATAGCTTGCACAAGTGTGGAGGGAGATGGCTCTGGGACAGCATCCCAAATCCCATCAAGCTACTTCCCAAGTGAGCAAAATCTGGGAGGGTCACAGTGATGGTGTTTCCACATACAGACTTTATTTCATTTTTAACTCTGTGGGAAAGGGGAGTAATTTTGGTGTATTAAGTTGTAGCCCCAGAGTGGTCAAGCATTAAGCAACATTTCCTCCATGTAGCTCTGTCAATGCACCTCCATCCTGACCTGCTACACCCCTACTATTCCGTACGGGCTCAGAGATGAGGGTGATAGGCATACTCTAATGAAAACCTAAATAGAACAGAATAGTCTTGGGCCCATACGCAGCTCTGCAGAGGCATCTGAGTCCTGACCTGCAGCACGTCTTGCTATACCAACCCTGGGACTCCTTCATAGTTCTGCTGACACAGCTTAGTGTCATACCTTGCAACTTGTCATACTAGTTCGTACTGTGGACAAATCTCCATTCACAATGAGGTCAAGTCCTTTCATTCGTGATCTAATGTGAATGAGAGACAAAACTGTCCATTTATAAAAGCTCATTGCATCCCATACTGAGCCAGCTACACACAGAGACTCAAAGCCCTGAAGATTCACACTTGAATCACAACACATCTGTTCATATTTTACGTCTTGCAATTCTTAGTATCCCCTCTGAGGTTTTCTCCTAACAC